ACTCAACATAGAAGGTAAGAGCACATCCTGAGTGATGAGTCAAAAAAAGCTGTGTCATTTTTTATAGATGTGTTACAATATAAGGCAGTGATGTCTCTAACTGATGATTTCTATGACAACTTAACTGATTTTGAATTGATTAATGGAACCATTCAACAACTGGTTGAAGATATAAATTATAATTTATCTGGCAGGATTATTGGCAATTCTAATTTATTCTTTATAGAGTTGCTTAATAGTGATGAAATAGAGTAAGACTCCTTATTATTAATGCAGTTAATTTAGTGTAAAAGATTTTTGTCTGACTATTAGCTGATTCAGTTCACTTATTATTTTTCATTACTAACTATAGCCCTGATGATGATCCTGAGAATGTATCATTGTTAATTACATTAATTGCAAATAATCAAGGAAATGGGCTTAGTCAGCAAATAGAAATGGATTTAGGCAATTCACTAGGATTAATGATTACTAATGTTGTAAGATTTGGTAAGCATATCTACTGTGTGATATAACTGATAACACTTATGTATGATTGATAATGATTCTAATTTCATAGATGGTTGCCCAACAAGCTCTACAACCTTATTATCTGATTCTGGTGATCCAAAACTTACTTTAACAATCAAATGGCCTGAAACTAATATTGGAGAAATAGCTGTAGTTAATTGCCCATGCGGTAGTAATGGTACGTCAGCTAGTGGTACCTTGAATGCATCTCGCAATTGTGGAGGTGATTTCAGTATTGGAGCTCTGTGGCAAGCACCTTTTGTAATGAAGTGTCAATTAAGTGATTTAGCTAGAATGATATGTCAACTTAAAGACGTGAGCAAATAATATTTTTTCCTATGCTTTTTTTTTATTTTTCAATATCTAGCGATTGTTTCCTGGTGTCAGTTATGCACCAGTGATTGATATGGTTAAAGAGCTTAATGCAATAACTAGTAACAGCAGTGAGATTGGATTTACTGAAGTGACTGCAGTTGTTAGTGTTTTGGAAGCTGCTGCTGAATTTACTAATAAAATTGCTGAAAATACTATGGTAAAGTTGTTTTAATGAGTGTATGAAAAATGATCATCTTTTTTAGTTAATTACATCAATATTTGAAGTAATTGATAATCTATTAGCTGTTAATCAAGAGACTTTAATAGAAAGTCAAGCACTGTCTAATAGCTCATCAAGGTGAAACATAATATAGCATCAAGTTTTTCATTGAATTGACTTTTCCCATAGAATGCTTGCTATTGTATCTAATATGGCTGCTATTATTAATATTACTAATGCTTCAAATCATGTTGTCAAAAATCATGCTTATTTTGCTGTTTCAATTCGTGAGAATAATTTTGAAGGCTTTGGTCGTGAAACATTAAGCATCAATCTCACAGACTTCTCTGAGCCAAATGTTAATTCGTACAATATAACTCTTGAAACTGAAGGAAACATTGTGTATTCTACTGGCTCTGTGACATTGCCTAGCAGCAATTTAAATTCATCTAATATCAATAGAATCACCAATGCAGTATTTTTAACTGATTCACTGTTTCTCAGGCGCAAATTTGATTATTTTAATGTTAGCAGTGTAGTGATATCAACAAGCATATTAAGGGAATTTGATGCTATAAAAGAACTGGATTCTCCTGTCAATCTTAGTTTTCAACTTAATCCTGTGAGAATTAATGCAATTATTATTGTTATTATTATAATTGTATTTAACAGGCTATCAAAGGCTCATTCCCTCAATGTGTTTTCTGGGATCAATCTTTAAACAGTAAGAGTTTAAAATCTGATGATTTAACTTATTCCTGTATAGGTGGGTATGGTGATTGGTCTAGTGATAACTGTGATACTTCATATGATTCAGTTACGCAAGCAATCAAATGTTTTTGTAATCACTTGACCAGTTTTGCTGTAATACAGGTATATTATAATTATTGGCAGTGTTACTTTTGCACTTTTGGCAACTGAAATAAATCCAAATTAAATGCAAAAAGATGTTGTGTTATCTAAAAATATAAAAGCAAAAATTACAATGAAGTACTAAACCATTCCATATACAAATCCATATTGCATGTTTTAATTATGACTCAGATGCTATATGATTATGTAGACATAGTAAATGGCTTTTTCAGAATTGGTTCTTAAGCAGAACTTAAATGGCTCCAAAATCACTATTACATTTTATGATACAAATTGATGTCCGTATGCTATGTACAAATTTTTAGAAAAAACCAAAAATACCTTATTATGTACTGTTTAGCCCATTGTTTTTTTTCAAAAAATGGCTCCAAAATCGACCCAAATATTTATTACATTTTCTGATACATACTGATAGCCTTATGCTATCATTGCTATGTAGAGAGTTTGAGCTGATTCCAACAAACAATCTGAGTTATGGCCATTTTAAAAACAAGCCAAGTTAAAATACTCACGGTATAACCCATGGTTTTTTTTCCAAAAAATGGCACCAAGTTTACCCCCAATTTGTAATACATTTTAAAAATGTACCTTGATGTTCTTATGTTATGTAGAAAGTGTGAGGTGATTTTGACTGAAATTTTGTAATTGTTTGCATTTTAAAAAAACGACCAATTTTTGAATAATACCCTAGCTGTTCATTCACCCATACATTTTCTGATACTAACTGTATATTCCTTATGCTGTGATTGTAGAAAGTTTGAGGTAATTACAGGAATTTTAAAGAAAGGGGTTAATATATTACATATGTACTGACTAGAGGGTATGCTATGTAATTTTCGTGCAAAATATTTGATTCCTATGGCTTCCACAGGAAACTTATGATATTCATGTAATTTATTTATATTTTTGTACATAGGATGTGTCTCCAACTGAACCATCAACAGTAGTTAATGTTTATTATCTTGATTCAGTATCTTATATTGGTATTATCATTACTATCATTTGTCTCATCATCACTGTTGTGTTTTATCTGTATAACAAGTAAGGAGTTGATAAAGAAATGAAAGACTACAGCCAGCAATGAGATTTGATGTGCAGAGATGATAATTTTTCTATTTTAATAGGGATTTAAGGATATCAAATCACTGCCACATGCTGCTCAATCTTTGCTTTGCCTTTATTGGTCTGTATCTCTCATTCGTTACATCAATTCATGCAAGGAATATCAATAGTTTTTGTGCACTATCTGGCTTTATGCTTCAATTTTTCTTTCTTGTCTGCTTAAGTTTGATGTCAGCTGAAGCAATAGACCTTTACCTTAACATTGTTATTAATTCAAGCATAAAGTTTTTCCATCTAAAAGTTACATTAGTATCATGGAGTAAGTTTGTTCATAGCTATTATTATTGATAGTTATTATTATCGTTATTATTTTTATTTTTTGTTCTTTCTAGTTGTTCCAATTTTTATTGTCATATTCTGCTTCTCACCAAGTTACATGAATTACATAAATGACTCTTCAAACTTGTAAGATAAATTATAGCATGCATTTTTACTAGTGTGCAATATTAATCAAAAATGTGTATTGTATGTACAGTCTAGTTTGTGCATTTTAAGAATAAAGTTTTTTATGCATAATACATGCTTCTGCACTGTGTAGTAGTTTTAGTGACATCATATCATTGTTTGATCAAGAATATTTAATATTATACTTGTTATGCTACTGTCATTATTATTAATCATGTTTTATTAAACAGCAGAATTATTTTAGCACTCATTATCACACATATTTATTACCCACCATGCAGATTGTATTTTATGTATGTATGTATTGAGAGTAAGATCAATAATAATTACTTTAGATCAATATTTTTTTAATTTTTAGTTGTCGTGCCTTTGATACTCCATTCTACATTGGTATGGTTATACCTTTTGTCATCGTTTACTCATTCATCTGGGTTATGTTTATTGTTATCATAATCTCTCTGTTAATGTCATCAAGAATCAAAGATGGCAATAAAAGGAAAGTTTTAAAACCTTCATATAAGTATCAGTTGGCTACATTATTGGTTCATTCTACGTTGTTTTGTCTATCTTCAGTGCTAATGTTACTAATGACAGAGGACACTTTCACTAATAAAGCTATTCGAGATCTAGTTGCTTCTCTATTCGTATTACTGACTGGATCTCATGGTCTTTTTCTTTTTGTAGTGCATTGTCTTTGTACAAAAGAATTTTACCGTATCTGCAAAAAAGTTTTCTTTGGCATTAAAAGTCTTTTACTACATACTGTTCACAAGAAGCCCTCCATTGACAGGAATGAAACAGTGACATCCACAAATCAGTATCTTGAAACGAAGCTTAATTCTAATATTTCTCATGGTATGTGTTGTTTTTAGTAACAATTTAGTCTTAATTTTATTTTCAGATAACTCCTCAAACCATTTAGAGCAGTTATTAGTTAAATATTCAATATCTGCTTCTCAAATTAATTTGCAAGAAGCAGTTGGACAAGGTAATTTTTAGCAGGCATTCAGTCAATTGCAGTTTTATCAATTATTAAAATAGGCGAATTTGGTATAGTGTATAGAGCTTTATTAGCAACTGGTAAAGATGTACCACAAGTAGTTGCTGTTAAAACGCTCAAAGGTATAATTATTATTCTTGAGAGTGAGAAAATTAATTGTTATGTGTATACTTACACTTAGGATTGTTCTCAAGAAGTGATGTTGCTTCCATTGTTGAAGAAAGTCTCATCATGTCAAATTTTGATCATCCAAATGTGCTTTCTCTTATTGGTGTGAGTCTGGATTTGGGACCAGCTCCATGTATTATTATGCCATTCATGTCAAGAGGAAGTTTATTATCTTACTTAAAAAACGATAGACTTAACATTACAATAACTGATGGCAAAGATGAAGAAATTATTCTGAATGTCAGGAAGCATTTGCTTTCAATTTGTCTACAAGTTGCTAATGGAATGTGTTACTTGGCTTCACAATATTTTGTGCATCGTGACCTTGCTGCTAGAAACTGCATGTAAGTTAAGTACTAATAATATATAAATGATTATAATTCCTAGGATTGATAATAATGGAGTAATTAAAGTTGCCGATTTTGGTCTATCAGAAGAAGTATACACAAAAACCTATTTCAATCAATTTAAAGACAAAAATGAGGCTGAATCTGTGAAACTGCCAATTAAATGGATGGCAATTGAGAGTATTCATGATGGGATATTTTCAGAGAAATCAGATGTTGTAAGTTATACAGACTTTTTCAAGAAAATTGTTTCGAATTTTTGCAGTGGTCATATGGTGTACTCTGTTGGGAAGTTTTTAATGGAGGCAAAACTCCATTTCCAGGATTGGATCCAGCAGGAGTGATTCAGTTACTGGATACTGGAGGACGATTGAACTATCCTCATAATGATGCTTGCTCTGATACAATGTAAGTATAAAACTTACATTTAATAGCTACCCTTTTAATTGCTGTTGCATAGTTATGAACTGATGCTGTCATGTTGGTATGAGTCTCCTAATGATAGACCATTGTTCAGTGAATTGAATACATCAATTAATGCACTCATTAATCCACTGGCTCAATATCTCAGTCTACAATTATAAAGTTTTGTGGAAGACTTATATAACAAAAATAATACTTTTAATAAACTTAGCTAGTAAAGTAGTGATTTCATGACAGTTATAATGTGATGCATAATTTGTGTAATTTCTTACTTTGTAGTTATGTGAGGAGCCTTGCAGTTATAGAAGGATAGCCTCACTTTAGTTAGTTTATAGTGTGTCTTCTTTTGAAAAAGATTTTGTTGTGTGACAGTTCTGTTACATTAACATATAGATCTAGGTATTGCTAAATCTTAATCTAATACATAATACACAAGACTGTAACTCTTCACAATAATAACCCATTAAAAAGTGTGAATAAAAAAGTATTACTAAACTGGTATAAAATGGCACCATTTATGATTGCTATGGTATTGAATAAGTAATAGTTAAAAACAATAATAAAAGTGTATGTACTATACATTAAATAAATAAAATTATTCTTTTCCTTTCTTCAACAGCCACAACTGTTATAACTATCACAGCTGCCCCAATCTTCCTGCACAGGTGATGTGTAGGAGATTTCCTGCACAGGTGATGTGTAGGAAATTTCCTAAAATTTTTTTAAAGAGATATTAACAAAAATAATTTAAAGTATAGCTGAGTGGCATGCCTACCATTTGATATTGCTTTCTTAACGACAGAAATCCAAATATCTTTAGCCTAGTTTTTCTTCAATTTTAAATTCATTCATATAGTTTGTTTTCATTTATTTCTATCAATTCCAGTAGCCGGACTCCCCAGCTTCCCTATACAAATTATAGAATTATGTGTAGAATATCAATGTAGGAAAAATTTTTCAATTTATACAGTACATGCACAAAATTACAATTACTGACAAGTTACAAATGGGTTACTTGGTTGCTCACATGCATGCACTATTGCACTGTTAACCAAATTTTAATAAAAGGTTGACACAATTTATTTGTTAAGCCCAACATGCACTAGGTAGCATGTTGCTAGCAACTTCTATGGTTACTTTGATCTTGTATCTAAGAATAGAAATCACATCTGTTTTATTTTTGGAATAAATTGACTAGAAGATTAAAGTAACCACAAAAGCTGTAAGTTAGACTTCACATTGACTTTTTCTCTACAGGATGCTGTTTGTAGATTGAGGTTGCATAAAACAGTCATATAAAAAACACCAGACCCATAGTCAGGGTTGCTATACTGAGGAGGTACATGCAAATCTACCTGTAAATCATACATTATTACTTATAATAGCTGTCACTACCGTATAGCGCTTTAATTTTGCGGAGCTAAAATTTCGCGGATTGATAAAAATCAATTTTTCGCAGAAATAATTTTTGCGGATTCGCAATGTTAGTGCCACACCTTTAATGGCAATTGAAATTTTAGCGGATCTTTAATTTTGCGGTTTCATGCTAACCATGAAAATAGCGAAAGTTTAGCTCCTTGAAAATAAAGCGCTATACGGTATTACTTGAAAGCATTATAATGGAAATACATGTAGTAGTAGACATGATGTAAGTATTTAGTAACAAACAAAAATCATTCCTTTGATCCATACTCTTATACATGCCAGTAAGAAGCCCGAAGCATAATTTATGTACAGTCGGTAAATTTGATTCTCACAGCTCCAAGTCAAAGGGGTGTCCCTCTAGCAACCCCTGCATAATGGCACATATTCATTATTCAAAATGAATAATTAGAACATACGGTCAAGGAGGGTGCGTATTAATTGGAGGTGCATTATTAGTGGAATGTCATTGGTGATGCAGCCCAAGATAGAGGCCTTGTTACCAGGTAGAGAAGAAGAGGAACTGAAAGTTTCTGAGCTCAAACACTTGCTAGTGTCCATAGGAAAGTCCATGTGAGGGGAAAAAGCTAATTTATAAGAAAGGTAAAAAAAAACATTAATTTGTACAATCACTTTTCCCCTCACGTGGACTTTCCTATGGACTCAAGCAAGTGTTTGAGCTCAGCGACTTTCAGTTTCTCTTCTTTGGACTGCATTGTCATTGACATTCCACTAACAATGCACCTCCAATTAACACACACCCCCTCAACCACAGGTTCCAAACTTCCAATTATTCATTTTTGAATAATAAGTATGTGCCATTGCAAGTTTAATTGCTGTACATGTAAATAAAGTGCACTTTAGTCTATATGGATAGACCTTAAGCTGAAAATGCTGCTGAACATGCTCAATATGGCTCATTTCTGATATGTGCTAACAAGTCCCATCCATTAACACATGATTAATTTCCCCCACCCTCTTTCACTTAGCCTTAGGTGACTCACATATCTTCAGTAATGGACCTCCTGCCATTTCTTCAAGTTTCCTTTTCTTGTTTTGCTCTCATTCATTCAAGCATTCACTCGAGTAGTTGAGTTGAGAGAGCTGACCTGCTCGACGCATGCATGCTGAACATTAACAAAGGCGTGGCTAGTTTAATCTAGTTCTAAATAATGCCCTTTGCAAGACTGCAAGCTTGAGGGCAAGCTTTTACCTGCAGTACTAAAGGACTTCCTTATTTGTCAAGAGTGGACTGGTGTCATGGTAGTGTTGAGATTCATGTTATAAGGCATTGTGGATTCTTCGTTTGAGACGTGGTTCTGTGACGCTTTCTGCTACAACTCGGCTACAACTCAGTGAAGGCTCATCGAGGCTCATTGTCCAAACTAACTATAGGCCATGGCATTAGATTACCTTAATGATTTCTGCTCTCCCGAGTCATTATTTTGGGTCAGTTCTTGTATATAGTTATGCATATCTGTTTTAAGTTAAGGTTCTTTGATATTTTTAGAAGAGTGAGTCTGGTTTGACTGTAGGCAGTGACAATAGTTCCTTTCAGTCTCATGATAGTGTGGATTTGACGCTATGCTTTCAGGACACTGCTATACTGTATGGGATTTGTTTCACATTTAGCTTGTTAGCAGTCCTTTGTTTCTTGTTTGGATCAATTAGCAAGCGGCCATCTATACCACACGGATGGTTACACATCACCAAAATAGTAAGAAATATTCAGTATATAATGTGAAAATTTTATTTCGAGAAACAAAATTTTCGTGATTTTGACTGATTATAACAGATTAGTGTCGCCTGCCCCTTTGCTACCTCCACTGTATATTCAATCGATCACCATTAAAAGCATGCCACAAATCCGAAAAATTAATTTTAATAAATTTGAGCGAGTTTTGCTCCTCAAAAAATAAGTGGTGTTCCATGCTAATTTAATGTCAGGTCTGCTACTCTCATTGCCTTGAATTGAGTTGGAGCCTATGGGCGATGTAGAATGTAGGGTTTTTTGTGATTAAATTATTAGCAATTTTTGCAAGCATTGTTGGAGTGAAATTCAACCACAGTGCATTCATGTTTTAAAATTATTAGCTCCCCTAGCTAAGGCCATTTCAATTAGGGTGTAATTAATTATGGTAGATAATGGAGTTGCACTTGTAACTAAATTATCACCTGTATAAATTGCATGTATAATTAATACAAAATGCAAGTGGAAACAGACACTGTGAATCAAATTGCAGTGGCCTAAGAGTACTTAATATTTCAACCATTAACGCTGGAGTTTTTAGTTTATCACACTTTAATTTTTTATTTAGGTTACATGCATACTGATGTTGATACCACCTCTTTGTGATGTGATATATTCAGTATTTCAATCACTCAAATTTAATAAAGATGTTGCAATTTATCATTATGTATCACCAGTGGTACTTTTATTAACAATAGTAAGTATAGTAATAACTTAAGATAATAAAAATAATAATACCATAAATTAAAGCACTTTACTTTTGTGGAGCCAAAATTCCACTGATTTATAAAAATGAAGAATTTGTTTAAATAACTTTCATGGATTTGTGATGTTAGCACCACACCTTTGATGGAAGTTGAACATTTTTGTAGAGCTTTAATTTAGTGGTTGCATGCTACATTATACATGTAATTTGTGAAAGCTACAAAACTTTTGCTCATTAAAATAAAGTGCTACATGTACATATAGTACATTTTGTAAGTGTCTTTATTTGAATTATGTAACATTTACTGTACATGTACAACATGTACATGTACATGTTCATATTAGTGTTCATTAGTGCATGTATCATGATGGTTTGTATTTTTTGACTTCCTCTCTCTTTGTTGGTTCTTCCTGTATCTTTTCCTCCCTCTCTCTCTCTCCCTCCCTCTCTCCCTTCCTCCCTCCCTCCCCCCTCTCTCTCTCTCTCAGATAATTACTGTTTTATTTATTGAGTTTGAAAGAAGGAGAGGAATGAGATCTCCTGGCCCCCTCATTCTCTTCTGGTTGTCACTGACTCTGTATTGTGGTATAAAAACAAGAACATTATCACTTATTGCTGAAGATAATCGGGTCAGTACTGCATCTATCTGCATGCTATAATTATCATGAGAATATTGGGTGCTAATTTTATAATGATATTCATTGTTAACTGGTGATGTATATCTGCCTGCAACAGTGGATCATTCAGCTCCAACTGTTATGCTGCCTTTTATTGTGTTTCAGTTGAAGAGTCAGAAAGAATAGAATGGCCAGTTTTTTTGCCTATGTGCATGTATGCATCTACAATAGCCACTGAGTAACAATAAATATCATCAGCAAAATCATTAATCTTATTTACTACACCCATAATCATAAATACCATTTCACCTGATTCATTATACCATATGATCTCTATTTACTTTTAGGGTATTCCTGACAAGTTTCGCTTCTTTACTTTTGTTGCTGAGTTTATTCTTTTAATACTTCAACTGGTTTTATCTTTCATACAAGAACCGAGATCATCTTATCAACATTTGACAGAAGAAGCAGTAAGAGCTACACAACATCTAATTACAATGTATATATTTATCAAAAATATAATGAAATAGAGAATTTTTTATTGCAAAATACCTCGTACTGTAGTACACTCTTTGACCAAATTTTTGAGCAATTTTTAAGACTCATAAAATTAATTTTGATCAGAATGCATCAAAATTTCCGCACAACATACATATTGTAAGTACATGTACATGCATGTGTATGAGTCAAGAAATGTAATAAAATTGAGAATTCTCTCCTAGTCATGTGACCACATGCCCACAGTGATTTTTAAGCAGCTTAAAAATTTTGTAATTCAAATTGCATCCACGGTTGCTTGATCTTCCTTCCTTTCTTGTTTCTCTTCTTTTTGTATTTCTATTTTAATTTTTCTTTTTTCTTAATAAGAGAGTTCTATGTCCTGAAGAGGCTGCCCCATTTTTCTCTCGTATAACTTGGTGGTGGATGAACAGGTAAGAATTGTATTAGTCGTAACAATTTAAAATTTTGTAATAAAACAAAAAGATTATTATTATTGTATTTGTGTAGTTTTATAAGGAAAGGCTACAGGAGAGGCTTAACTTATGATGGTTTGTATGATCTTAATAATGACGATAAATCAAGAACTGTGTCGCCCAAGTTTGAGAAAGAATGGAACAATCAATTGAATAAAATCAAGTAAGGAGGATTACTGTATAGTGCTAAAATTACTGTTGGGGAACAGAACTTTTTGTGGTTTTCACGAATTAGCATTCAACCAAAAAATCAAAGCTCTGCAAAATACATGTACATGTATGTAGGTGTAGTCCTGACATTGCTAATCCACAGAAAAAGCTTAATTTTTATAAATCCACAAAAGTTTGCTCCTCAAAAGTAATCACATGTTCATGTACATGTATATTGTTCTTTTCTACATGTATGTTCAATCTTAAATTCTTCTTTTTCTCCCTCTTTCTGTCACAAAGAGGTTGCAGTTCATCACGAGAGCCTTCACTGTTGTATGCATTGACTAAGAGCTATGGAGCTGTCCTCTTTATTGCTGGATTCTTTAAACTAGGACAAGATATATTAGCCTTTGTCAGCCCATTGCTATTGAAGTGAGAATTACATATACTGTACATTTTATAATAATAATTCATACTGCACTATTTGGTATACTCTTTTCCTGAAGTTATGTCTCTAATAAGCTTGAGAGAATACCGTAAAAGATTATACATGTACATGTGCATGTAGAATATAGAGTGAAAAATTTAGATGTTGGAAGTTCATCCACATTTATTTTGCCTATTTATTCCAACATGTCGAAATATTCACAATTCAAAATTTCTAGTATGCTTTGATTGTTGCTATTGAAAAATTAACATCATTTACAATATGTAAAATATACCAGATTTACTGCTAATTTTTTTCATTTACTAAATACTGTACTTTTTATAATACTAACTGTAACAGGGCACTCATTAATTACGTGAAGAATGAAGATGAGCCAGCCTGGAGAGGGTATTTATATGCTGGAGTAATGTTCACAGCTGCAGTGTTACAATCATTCCTCCTCCAGCAGTATTACTATCGCTGCTATGTGTGTGGTATGAGAGTAAGAACAGGAGTCATTGCTGCTGTTTATAGAAAGGTACAATAAATTGTGCATATTGTATAATGTATATATACATGTGCATGTACATTTATGTGTATAACTGCAATTTGGCAAATTTAGTATTTTGATAGCATTTCACCAATTTAAATCCACCATTATGTACATTTTTAATGGAACATAGCCACAAGTTTATTAAATTAAAGCCTAAAAATCCCCCAAATTTAGCAATTCATCGAAGTTTTTATTCTTCCATAACTACCAGCAGTAAAGTACATGTACATGTATTTTTTTCATATTTTTGTACGTACAATATACAGATGTGTACATTGTACATGTACCTTCATCACTCTTACGGGGTTCTATATAGTAGGGGGCGGGCAGGGAGCGAAGCTTCCCCCCAAAACTTCAAACCCCCTGTGTACTTCTGTAATTGCGTGCATGTACTGTACATGTAGATACATGTATGTACACAACCTCCCCCGGTCAACTCCTCTGGGCTTCCTCCCCCCAAACAAAAATTCCTAGGTAGAACCCTGCTTACTCTCCTACATGTACAGTACATGTTGAAGCTATTTATTTTCTATATTTCTCTCTCAGGCTCTTAAATTAAGCAGTAAATCTCGTATGAATAGAACAGTAGGTGAGATAGTTAATCTAATGTCAGTAGATGCTCAACGCTTCATGGACGTCACCACATACATACACTTTATCTGGTCTGCTCCATTTCAAATCATCACAGCACTGACACTCCTCTACCTCTCAATGGGGCCCCTGTGTTTGCTGGGTTTGGTGTCACTCTCTCTCTCATTCCACTCAACATGTTGACTGGTTCCTTGATTAGAAGGATTCAGACTAGCCTCATGATTAAGAAGGACTCTAGGATCAAGATAGTTAATGAAGTCCTCAATGGAATCAAGGTATTTACATGTATTTACGTGTACATGTACATTTGTATTGGCATAAAATTTTGTGAAGTACGCTTTTACATGTACTTAACTTTGTAAATATAGTGTATTTAAATACTC